AAAGTAAATAATAATTCAATAATAGTTATATAAATTTCCTTACTATATTTATTTTGACTACTAGCTTTAATGTAGAGAGCAATTGACGCCCTTGATGGAACTTTAATACATGTTATCGGCGCTATTCAATAACAACATTTATATAGAGGACGAGGAAAGTATGAAAAGTTTAATTATTCATATGCAAAGCTCAGAAATGTTATTGAACGTTCTTATGGTGTCCTTAAAACACTTTTTCCGATATTGAAAAGAATGACACCATTTACACTTGAGGTTCAAAGAGGCATTGTTATTGCATGCTTTGCGGTTCATGGTGTCCTTAAAACACGTTTTCCGATATTGAAAAGAATGACACCATTTACACTTGAGGTTCAAAGAGACATTGTTATTGCATGCTTTGTGGTTCATAGGTGATGAGTTATTTTCTGAGTATAATCAATCCAATGAACAACGGGACGATTAAGAGAATGAAGCTGAAGAGGTACAATCGCATGGGAGTGTCGTTGGCCAAACATATATGGCTAGTTTAAGAGGAAAAAATGCGATACAATTAATGCAAAGTGAATATCGATTCTAGTTGTTATGAGACTTTGTTCTTGTTTTCTATTATGTGTTGAATCAATTGATGTATTTCAGTTGAAGTTTTGAATGTTTAAAAAATAGATGATAATTTACAAATGGTTTAAATGATTAGATATTTCAGTTGAATTTAACTAAAATAAATTGATTCAAATTTCAGAATTTAAATGTTTGTCAGTTTTCAAAAACAAACAGTCAGATTGATTCAAACTTCAGACATAAAAACAAACAGTCTGACTGATTCAGATTTCAGACTTCAGCACCACCTTTTTATAAAATCAGAAGTGAAATCAGACTATAAATTTCAACACCATTTAAAAGATCAAACGAACCCTTAAACACAAAGTTGAATTGGGTTGAATTGAATTCCTTCACAACCAAATATATCACCACGTCAGATTCAACTTCAACCAAAATCTCACTAATCTTAATTAGTAATTCCTATGCCATATTATATCGATTCCGAACATTTTCCAAACAAAACTTTCCTATATTTCGTTTATTTTATCATTAATTTTGTGTGAACATTTTCTTTTAAATAAATAAATGTAACAAATATAGAGCATATCATTTGAAATTCAACCATTTGATCTTGTATCATAATTGAAGTTTGTCGACTTCAAATAAGGCCATCTTCAACACGCTTTCGGCTCCTACCACGTGCTTTTCAACTTTTTCTATTTTTTAAATATTAAATATGTATTTTATTATCTATACTATATTATAAAGCATTTGACCAAAAACTTTTAAAAACCACTTTTTATACGTAAAATATTTTTTTATTAATGCATATTATTTAAAACTCAAAATTACAAGTAGATTGTGCGTAAATACAACTTATTAAAGCTCCGTATCTGAATTCGTGTAACTAACTACAGATAAACATAATCAAATACAAGATAAAACATCTCACTTTAAATATAAAAAATCTAAAATATAATTAGGATAATTATTGAGTTCTAACAGAATACTTAATTATTATATTTATAAAATGTTATACTATTAAACCAAAAATAAATTATTTCATTATTAAACTTAAATTAAATTATAATAAAAAAATAAACTGAATAAATTATATAAAAAATAAGAATTTTTAAATAGTTGATTTGATATTAAAATTGATATATATTTTTTTTAATTTTTTATGATATCTTCAAATTTATATTTTATTAAAAAATAAAATCAATTTTGTTTTCTTAAAAACACATAAAATCGTATTATAACATCGAACGAGACAAATAATAAAATAGAGCATTAAAAATCGAGATGTGTCTCGTTACATTACACGAATACTCTTCTAATTATTTTAAAATAATACATTTAATATATTCATATCATTTCTAAATTTTAAAGCGTCTTATTTAATATAGGGTTATTCGCTTCACATCAACTTCAATAATCTATTATTAGACTTATTTTCAGATATTATTAAGTATTTTATAAAAAAAGAAATATACATTTCAAATATATTTTAATAATACATTAAAATCTTAAAATCAATACATATCTTTGTTGTTCCAAAATCTCACGTTTCATTTATGTCTTATCAATGAAATTAAAACACATTAGAGTTTACTAGAAGGGTACTCGCGCAACGTAACGAGATACATCTTGATTTTAATATTTCATTTTCTTCTTTATCTCAGTCGATGTTATAATATGGTCTTATGTGATTTTGAAAAAAACGATGATGTTTTTATCTTTAATAAAATATAAATTTGAAAATATCATAAAATTTTGACAAGAATATATCGATATTAGTATCAAATTAACTATTTAAAATTTCTTATTTTTTGTGTAATTTTTAATTCAATTTTTTTATTATAATTTAAGTTTGGTTCAACAACGAAGTAATTTATATTTGATTTGATAATATAATTTTCTTATAAAGATAATAATTAATTATTTTGTTGAAACTCGATAATTATCCTAATTATATTTTAGATTTTTTATATTTTAAAATGAGATGTTTATCCTCTATTTGATTATGTTTATCCTCAGTTAGTTACACAAATTGAAACATGGAGCTTTAATAAGTTGTACTTGTGCATAATTTACTTGTAATCTAAAATTTTAAGTAATATGCATCAATGTACAATATTCATGCATAAAAAATAGTTTTTTAAGAGTTTTTGTCAAATGCTTTATAATATAGTATAGAAGTTTTTGTCAAATACTTTATAATATAGTCTAGTTATATATTAAATTTTATTTAATTCAAGTTCATATTATTTTTCTGATGATGTATATTCATATGATTGACATAAATGCACGTTAAAATTTGAGACATATTTTTATTCAGCTCATAAAGGTCCGAAATCATACAAGTAGCAAAGCATCCATAAATGGAACTCATAAATAGATATTTATATAAATCGAACAATTAATATTTCAAGTATAACAAAAAACATAGTAGGATTGGGTTCTGGTGAGAAGGAGAGTTAAACTGAAAAACGTAAATGTTAGTTATCTATAATATAACATGTGATATGTGTAGATCATGAATTACGTTTGAAACACATGTGATTTTATACATTTTAAATGTGTTTTGCTATACATCACATGTGAATATGTTTTTTCATTATTTTTCTTTTTCAATGTTTAATCTAAATAATTGTTTTTCAATTTTAAATCACATATGATTAGGAAAACATTTTGAAAAAAGAATAATTAATTGTGGCTCATATGTGATTTTAACAAAATTTGTAATTTTTAGAATATTGCTTTAAATAAAAAATGATGGACTCTTTAAATGAAAACTAAATACATTTATTTAAATGCATTAAATATAAAATATTTTATTAAATAAAAAATTAAATGATATTAAAATCACAAATACAGTAAAAGTATAATCTTAAAATAAATACTTTAAATAACTTTTATATAACTAAATACTTTGATAGATGTATTTATTTTTAGAATTAATTATTTAAGATATTATTTAATGAATGATAGATCCAGAATTATTCTCTTATTCTTTTATATAGTTATCATTCTCGTTTGATCCCCTCTCTCTCTCTCTCTCTATATATATATATATATATTCAAAATAAATAAACTTAATATCACATTAATTAGTATAAGAAAATCCATCCTCTAAACTATGAAATATATAAATTATGTTATGATAGAATTTCAACTCTACAACTATTAATCTAAACACTCAGTTAACATCATTTACTGTCAGTTACATGCACACACCAAAAGACAAAAACTACTTAACAAGGCTTATTTCATGCACTACCGCATGTGATGATTGATCATCCTCAATGGTCGTGATCCCATGTTTTCCGTTTTCGTCTTCCTTTTCAAACCCACGATTAAATCTATCATAGATTCATACTTTGTCATTTCTTCTGTTCAAGACATGTGTTTGTCCAAAGCTTGTATCAAGTCATCTTGATGAACTTTTTTTATATCAGAAATTTAACAAGTTAAGCAAGTTTCACTTTACTCCAATCTATCATTATCTCAATATTAATGATACTCTAAGTTTGTTGTTCTATAACTTGTCTCATGAATCATCATACCACAAGTCCAATGTCCCAAAAGTCGCCCTTAATCGCCTGGTTTGTTGTCTGCTCAATCTTAGCTGAAATATCTTGTTTTGATACGTTACAAGTCATCTGCTACCACATATGCAGCCCGAGTCACATATTGGGTCCCCCTGTGTCTTTTTAGGTGTGGTTTGAGTCGCAAACAACCCGCATGTTCCCTATCTCCTAACAATTGCTTATTTTAATCAAATATGAGCGAATCATCATCTTCTTTTTAAAATGTCCATCTACGAATCTCTCAAAAACATCTTGGATTAGACTAGATTTTCTGGATTTCTCACATTTCCTCTTAAGATGGACATGGGAACAAAACTTGCACTAAACCGTTAAAAAAAAGGCTCTCTTCACTTGGGAATGTAGCAACACAATATAATTCGTGGCATGTCAGTAATGTCTAAATGGATGTTACCAGCTCCTTTTGCATGTAAAATACATATATTGAAATGATACTACATGAAATTGTTATGCATGTGATAAGATTGAAACATGACAATTCAACGAGTCGTATGAAATCTTATTGAAATAAAGTTTTTTATAATTAGTGAAAGAAAATTCTACTATGTTCTTCTAGTGTTTTAAACAACAACTGCCATGGATTAAGACTTGTACATGTTAATTAAGCTTGTGGTGCATCATAATATAGAGATATGCTGTTGTAAGTTTCTCACCGTCACGTCATGTCACGTCACAGCACGGCATGGTACGGCACGGCACGGCACGGCACGGCACGACACGGCTTGCCTTCCTCTTGTCAAAGGGTTAATATTAATAATCTATTTTGGGCCTTTTGGTCCATACAGATTGGGTCCATAGTCCAAACCCATATTGATGAAGTCATGAAACCGATCCCAAGTCTTAGGGCATAGAAACCGAGCCTCAATCTTGTACTTTCTTCTCCGAAAGGTTATCTGATGATCGAATTTGAGTAGTACTTTGGTTCCCAAATTCTGCATATCTAAACTATGGGATCGCCCGTTGTAGTCTCCTTAAGTGCAAACCCTTGTCGTTTGGTTACTCCTAAAATCTGCAGAATTTCTTTGAGACATTTCAACAAACAGCCTGTGGGTCAGCTCTCTACTGATAACACCTTCAAAAAGACGCTGCAGTGTCCACTCTTAACTGCTACGAATCGTTTCTCGTCAAGAAACAGGACCCATCTCGTTCAACCAGTCAGAAGTTCGTATTCAGATACCACCAACTCCATTTTTAATAAGCCTGTACTGAGCAATTTCGAGAATTTCTCGTTTGATGCACTGAAAAAGACCCTTTACGAGTTAAACCCAATTAGGGTCTGTAAGTGGGTGTTTCTAGGGTCGATTGCAGTTGCGTCATTCAAATGGGGGATTAATACTTTATTGAGTCCATTCTTTTGGATGTATTTTAGCTGGACCTGGGTGTTCTGGCCATGGTGCATTGCAATCGGTCTTGCTATATATGGTATTTATGGATTCAGCAAGCACATAAAGGGGGAGGCTGGTGAACTTGAGCAACTTGCTATAGTAACTTCTGCTTTCACATGGCTAACATTAGTACCACCTGGTCATGCGAATGGGTTCCTAGAAGGGTGGCCTTTTGTCTTCTTCTTTGTGTATCATTATTTTTTTTTCCTCAATGTCAGTATCCGTAAACGCCTGTATGGAGATTTCTATCCTCGAGAACATGATCCTAAATGGGATATTGGGACTCCCATTTGGTGTCGTGTTCTCTTTTGTGTTGGAGTCATGGCTGGGCACTGGTTTGCAGCATTTGAAGCGCCACAACTTCACTTAATTCCTGGAGGTTGGAGCAATCTGGGGATTTGGGGATTGATAATGTCCACAGTGTTATTGCAGTATCACTCTACATTGTATCTTGCAAAGTATTCTGAAAAAGTAGTGGTGCCAACTGCTGTTGTGCAGTTCGGGCCTTATCGTTGGATCAGGCACCCTATATATGCATCTACTGGGCTTCTCTTTTTGACTTACTTCATTGCACTACGTGCACCACTCAGCTCCCTTTTTATAGTTGCGGTTTGCCTGATGTACTATGATCAGAAGGCCAAATTAGAGGAGGCTTTAATGTTGGAGACTTTTGGAGACGGGTACACTGAATACATGAAAAAGGTTAGGTACAAGTTTATCCCTTTTGTTTATTAAAATTTCCCCATGTACATCAAATTCTTAGACAAAGTTAGTATTGGAAACTGGTTTTTGATCTATTCACAAAAGAGAGGATGATAAACTAGAAAGAGTGCTTTGTTGAGGGATATTGGAATTAGAAAGTATGGATTTTGGAACAAGGACTATGATGCCTTCTTCAAGATACTTTTAGTGTTTACCTTTTTGATTCTGCATGTGTATGTATATTGTATTCATAGTGGAGGTTCTGTTGCACACTTGCACAGAAATACCTTTAGAGTTGTAATACATTGGGTAATCAATTGGTTGTCTTTACAGGACCATCTATGTCCTAATCCAGACCTTCGTGTTTTACTTATTGTGATAAAATTTGTGTCTGAAACTAATTATAGTTTGATATTAGGAGGATATCCTGGTTTGGACATGAAATGTCACACAAGTTAGTAAATAGTACATGACATCTGATGCACTCTTATAATACAAGTTGTGTATTCGTACCATTCATGGCTACCAGTCATCTTCACTTATGTTTCCTTAAGTTAGTAAAACTGAAGTCTGAAGGTTTACCCTACCTGTTCGGCATACCTTCAGCAATAACGAGATACAAGCTTGCCTTGATAAACCTTACATGGCTACTACGCGAGTAGTATTCAAACGTAAATTGTGGAGCCATATATAGTAGACAAATTTTACTTCTCGAAGATGTTAAGCTCAGGCGACGACAGAAGAATTGTTGCTCAAGTCTTCTTTGAAGATGTTAGAATCTATCGAAATTCCTTGAAAGGCTCATGTATGTTGTCTCACACAATTAGTAGTTTACTTTTGATGATACTACCTGGTTAAAATTATCATGGCGTTGGTGTGGGGTCCTTGAATACCGATGGAGGTGAGACATGCCGAGTGCTATTATCCTGTATAACTTGTGCTTCTTTTCCCAACCTGCTTAGGGTTGGGATTTCATCTGTCACCAACCAGCACATGGTCTACTCTTCAAGGTTGGCTCTTGTCCTGAAGATGCATATTGCTTCTTTCCATTTTATTTAACATGGTATTGCCTTGATAAATCTTTCTTTGTTGATTTATTAGTTACTAAACATAGTTTGTAGTGATCCTTCAAGGAGATTCTATCCAGTGTGCTGTATTTATTTATCTTTCTTGCACCTATTAAATACGTAAGAAATACAAAGGTCACTTTAGGCTCATAATATTACCAATGACATGTAAACTTGATTAGCGATGCTCGTCAGGCATTTTCAGAGATGGCATAGGCATGTGCATATGTGAGGTTGAAAATAAATTTGATCATGGTTATTTACTAAGCTATTGCTTTATACTGATGAGATAATTTAAGATTACTTCGAAAATTTTGGTAGCGTTAATTAAAAGTCAAAAGCAATTCCATCATTTGAATTGAGAAATGATGGAAGGCCAAGGTATGCATATTTGCTTATTTTAAATTCATCACATTTGATTCTTTTATTATTGGCTTGGTGCCTACACATGGTTATAGGTTGTACCTGCAGAATGAAGGTGTTCTCATTCTAAAAGCACTATCTATTTAACTATTTTATCTTATTATATAATTTACAAAATATTCTATACTTTCCCAAAGGCAATGTTGCATGTGTTAGACCCTTTTAAATGCCCACAATTAAGTAGCCTAATATACTGGGTAGCAGGTGCCCTTGTGGCCTTGTGGGAGCACCACCTTAAGGTAGCCAAGTTGGTGGTTCTAAACTTACGATTGTCCATGGTCTTTCTAAGAATCAGATGAGAGAAGTACGTGTGAGATTAGGGTTATCCATAAAGTTCCATTCAATTGAAACAACACATGTGCTACAATGGCTGCGACAAAGGGATGTGGATATGCTAATGATTTAGTTCCTTCATCCTTTCTTTTCTAGTATTAATCTAAACAGCTCTAACTATTTGACATTTTACAAGCAATCAATGTAAATTCTTTTGGTTGAAGTTTTCCAAATGGCTGATAATGAGGCTGTTTATGACTTCCAAGGAGATGCATCAGTTCTTTCAAGATGGATTTCGAAGTTTCCTTTGTAATTATACAAAGATCATTCATATTGAAATTACGTACAGGCAATAAAAGAATGATAAAAAAACTTGGAAGATCTTTACAGCTAAGGTACAAAATGCCATTGTAAATTTGTGACTTACAGGAGCAACTATAGGTGTTAACCTTTTCTTTTTGTTTTGAGCTGCTAGATCCCACCACTTCTCATAAATTATATATGGAATTCTTGGACCAAAAAAATGTGTAAGAACTGAGCACAGGTCCTCGTAGTTGCAGAATCATTGTCTAACATAGTTTAAGTGAAGTGTGCAGCTTTTTGATGTGTGAACTTGAACAATATATCAATAGGAAATAATGAAATCATGTACTTAACAAAAAGCTGGTGAAGCAGAAGCCTAAAGAAAGAAGTGCATGTACACCTAGAAATACAAGCAAGCCATGTGAATCCTTCCTTGAATACGCATGTTAACCACTTTTATAGAAGAAAAGAAGGAACCCAGAAAGTTCAGGAGATTTTTTTAATGAACTATGATTTGCTAGGAAAATGAACTCCGTGTTAGTTGAAGTGCGTCCTGCTTTATGATCATATGAATTATGTTAGCCACTCTAAGATTTCAGGGCTAAAGGAATCCTCAATGGATGTTCAAACTCATTCGTCTATGTTGAGAAACCACAATGGCTTACTTGGTATCTTCAGTTGGTATCTAAAACGAATGTCAAAAATGTTATTTTCCATTATGAAAACCAATGACCTGCCCATAGTACGACAAGTACAACATGAGAAAGGGGAAAAATGATTTTGATTCTAGTATTAACCCAAAGCTAACTGCCAGAAGCACTCTATAACTTTGTGTGCAGGCTTTACCATTCACCTCAACAAACACAACAGCTGTTAGGAACCTTTTCATAGGTCACAACCCACAGAGCAGATGCAATATAGAAACAAGTGTGCCTAGGATTGTCCTTCCGTTTGTCAAGAAACACAATCAACAACGATTATGTTGGGATTGGTGGTCGTAATAAATTATAAAAAATAAAAATAAGGGAGAACTTATCCAGCATGGTTTAAACGTTCTCAAGTCTTAGGCACACTCAGTGTATACAACCTTGAATAAGTAGTACTTTATCATTTTATCTCCCTGTATCAGCTTCAATTTCTCAACATCTGTTAATATGTATTGTTGGTCGTGTAAAGCAAACTGATATTTTACTTCTGGATCCACAATTTATAGTTTCTTGACAGTGGATGAGTGTAGAAACTAGAATTATTTACAAATTTTTCTTCAGGAGGTACCCTGTTCAATCATAGCCATGTTTGGGCTTGCAAGGTGGTTGGGGATGGATCCACCTGTTTGGGCTTGGGCCTCTGTTTAGGCTACACTCCCTGTTTGGGCCCTGATATTACAGCTATATCTGTTAGAAACTGTTAGAAAGGCTTGTGCATAAGTAGAAACTAAAAAAGCTTTGAGAAACCAAAGTTTTTTAAAAACGAAAACCTTACATAATAAACATATCTACAAAATATGTATCCTAGCACAGGTGTAGGTTGTAAGTGGTCTTCATGGTAGAAATGTAAGATTGATTGGGTGTGGCCAGGCCTATCTAGTCCTTTGATATGAGATGTACCCATTATGTATGTGCAACTTTAGCCATATTACTTGTTGGAGTCCCACATTGGCTAGACACGGACCGTCATATTGTACTTATGTAGGAACCTTCCCTCTCTTTATAAGGGCACTTTTAGAGAGCTTCAAAGGGGTTCCACATATCCTAACATTACTGACCGCTAATTTACAAGTTTAGGTAACGGAGATACGCTTTCAGGATGAATAGTCAGATAACTTGAGATATGCTTCTTGTGGCTATCAACCAAGATGCTCTTTCAGGTATTGCAGACTTATATTTCTGGTTCAGGAGGCAGATGTGACAATATCTTTCATCTGTCTTTCCTGCTGACCATAATTATTGACTGGCTTGCATGAAGGATTGGTTAACACGCATGAATGCTTACATATGATCTTTTGGTTCTAGTAAATTGGTCATGACTCACTGCTCACGAGTCATAAACAGTTACTTGAACCATTTCTCTTTGTAGGACCGCCACTCGAGTGTCACTTGTAAGTAAGAAGTGAGTGGTGTATCAGCTAGCAAGTCCACACATGCTGAGTTTTAGACGTCACAGAAGGCGACACAGGAATTGCTTTCAATCTTTGACTATATATATGTATATGAGAAGGAAAAAAACCTCATCAACATGATTTATATGTCGACACGAGTCCCAAGTCTCTCTTTGTAGTTCACATCTTAGTTTTTGTGGTGTTTGGATAAGATATGTTTATCTGTTCATATTTGAAATGCACCTGGCTGATGCATGCACCTAGGTTATGTCTATTCAACACCAACACCATGACTAGAAAAAATGGCTGTAGATCTTTTTTAACACATCTTTTTTCTTTGTTAAGCGTTGAGACCATCCACATACCAACAACTCGTTTAGACTTTGCAATTATGTTATGCTTTTGCAATTACTTTCTGTAACTGTTGTTACATGGGCATATCACATGGTTTTGCAATCCTTCCATGGATGCTCTAAGGTGACCTCAGGTGCACCCAAATAGGAAGCAAGGGAGTTCCCTACTAATTGTGGGAGGATCCGTCTGCGGACCAATCAAATTTATCCACGTCACAGAATGGGTGTCACCCTAACATTCATTGAAGTATCTTCAATTCTGATCAACCTCCACATTATTTGACCCCACATCCAACATGGTACCCTTAATTTTTCTAAATATATCATCTAAAGGGGTATTTGTAGAGCATCCACATCAGGTCGGTCCCCAGGGTTATTTATGAGAAAGGCAAATCGTGCATATATCCTATTAGCAGAATGGTGCTTAGGTTCGTACCTGGACCTCACACATATGTATTGCACCACATCTTTACCCCTAGGGCATATCAGCACATATGTATTGCACATCATCTTTACCCCTAGAGCATATCTATGATAGTTATGTTTTTGGTAAGCCATACTATTATTTCATGTTATAAACTTAGGGGTTGTTTGGTTGGTTTTCTATTAAGTCTTGTATATAAAGGTTGATTAATTTGTCTGTATGTATTGGGAAGGTGCCTTTCATAGATGGAAGAGCTGGTTTGGAAAAATCTTAACTGTCTGCACAAAACTCCCTCCTAAAAGCTTACTGAATACGCCACTATTGAACAATCATGTATAACTGATTGAATAAGTTGTGAATTCTATTTAGCTTATTAAGCTGCTAACAAGTGGGTTCTTAATGAGCTTAATGATCTAGATGGCTTATTCACTCAACCATACGTTCTACGTGAGTGTTTTTATGGCTTAATTGTAAAACCGTTAAGCCAAAATAGCTATATGAAATAAGTCATACAAGAGTGTTTATATGGATGTCACCTATATATAAAATAATAAAGGATTTAGTCACATCGATAGTCCAACTCGATCATCTGATCCTTAACCAAACAGAGTAGTAAAATTGTGCAAGAACAAGGACGAACGTGGCAAGCTTATGGGCACTATTCTCTCATCCTTTGTCCCTACAAGTGTACAGATTCTCTATGTATCTGCTGCCTCCAGATCACGTGATCCACGATTCGTCCTCATCGTATATTCCTCGATATAAGAGACTATATACCTCACCTTTATTTCTTTAGCATTTTTTAACATTCATTCTGTAAGAACGTTCACCTCATTACCTATTAGATTAAAAATAGTAAGATAAACAAAAGCATTGCATCCCGATCAACACTTGAAAGAGGTGCAACTAGACACCATTGTTATTGTTGGTCGAGTTAGGTTGGGTTGAACATATGATACAATTGGTGGGTATAATAAGAAAGTAAAAGTTGCAATCAAAACCACAAGAATGGTGTCCGATTGGTTTGAACTTGCACTCTAAAGGTCAAAAGTGTTTGGAGGTCCCAGGTTTAAATCCAAGAATGAATAAAAATCTTCTTGTGACTACAGAGGTTCAAATGTAATGATTCTGAGCTACCTGCCTGCAAAGCAGGTGTTCTTCCTGGCCACACAAATTACAATAAATGTAAAAGATTGAGAATATGTTGTATTTTGGTTCTTGTCATTCATTATTCACGTGTGACATTAATTAACTTTGGTACCAAGTGACCACAACATTAATGGCCTTTTTTTTCTTTTATATTTGATTTTTACAAGAAAAAAAGAAAGATATGTGCATTATATATATATATATATATATATATATATATATAAATGAACATGGTGTAATGTAATAGGGCAGGGTACAACTTTTGATCCCCTGGCCTCGATCGATCGACTATGTTAGATAACGGATCTTCTTAATTAATTAAGGGGACGGACTCTGATCGGCAATCCATGTTGGGGTACTGGGAATGGGCCGTATTGTATTCCGTCATCCTCTCCAATCACCTCCCATCTACATTAACAATAAAAAACAAGCATTAATACATTACTAGACCTGGATTGAAATTAATTAACGAAAGAGAAGAGTAGTTGCCTGAGGGTGGTGGTGAGGTGATGGAGTAGGACGAGCATCTCGAGCTTAGCCAGATCGCTTCCGGGACACGAGTGGGCACCATTCCCGAAGGGCATATACGTGTTTGGCCGAGGAGAAACCTACGTACACAGACAGATTCAGATTCAGATCGAGATTGAGATTGGTATTAAATGTGGTGGATCCTACGTGCGTTATGTTGGAAGCGACACATATATTATATAGTGGACAAAATCTTTGTCGAATTATGTTACACGCGCTTGCATACACTGCAACTACCATACAAAATCAGCAGCTCACATGATACTAGAAAGATTTTATGCAATCATTCCATATAATACATATTCACATGTTGTTCATATTTAGTTTCATATTCATCATTCATGGTAATTATATATATATATATATATATATATATATATATATATATAGGGGCCTATTCAAGGGAGAACTGAGTTATTTGTGGTAACTGTGAGA